GGCTTTTTTCTTTTTGCTTATGTGGTGCTGAGGAATCCACCCCAGGGCGTCAGGCATACAAGGCAAGTGCTCTACCACTGAGCCACCTTCCCAGCCCCTAAATGTTTTAATTTTTAATCTTAAATGTTTTAATTTAAAAAATGTTTTAATTTGATCTCATTTATAATTAAACTGTTCAAGGGTAAAAAGAGACTTTTGAAAGCATCACCTATAGGATCATTATAGCTAATTTCATATTGGAGACTAATGAAGTCTGAGAGGCAATCAAATGACATAAAGTTATGTCAGACTAAAATTTGTCAAGCAAGACTTGTATATCCAACAAAACTATGTTTCAGCAGTGTGGAAGAAATGGAGACATTCCCACATAAATAAACAAAAACTGAGTAGTTGCTGGCAGACTTACCCTATGACACATGAGAAATTCCCTTAGGCTGAAGTGAGAGGACTAAAGAAGAATTCAGAACCACAGGAGAGGTTTTACTGGCCCTAGAGTTTGCAACTAAGGTGTATACTTGGTAAAGTTTTGTATAAAGGGAAAAAGTTTGAAGATACTTATTTAAGTTTTAGGATATTTATTGTCTGTTTGATCACAGAATATGTAGAACATAAAGTATTGAATGGGGAAATCCACAGCATTTATTGAAATGCAATTTTTTTTTTTGGTGGAAAGGGCAATCTGAAGATTCTCCTGTAATGGGATAATCAGAGCTTGTTAATATTAATTCTAAAAATTCTTTAAGAATATACTTCTTCCAGGGGCTGGGAAGGTAGCTCAGTGGTAGAGCGCTTGCCTTGCATGATGAGGCCCTGGGTTCGATTCCTCAGCACCACATAAGCAAAAAGAAAAAAGCTGGAAGTGGCACTGTGGCTCAAGCAGTAGAACGCTAGCCTTGAGCTGAAGAGCCGAGGGACAGGGCTCAGGTCCAGAGTTCAGGCCCACAGTCGGACCACCCCCTCCCCCCCAAAAAATAAAAAAGAATATACATCTTCCAGAGTTAGCATTTTTTTGTTTATTTTTTATTTTTATATATGTTTTTATTGTAAAATGTACAGAGGGTTACAGTTATATGAGTAAAGTAATGAGTGCATTTCCTGTTGAGCATTATTACCTCCTCCTATGTTTTTGTTTTTCCCCTAAGCATTGTTTTCTTCTATATTTTTTCTGTTATTTCTTGTTACAGTTTTTTTTGTTGTTGTTGTTTTGTTTTGTTTTAGATAGTAGGAATTTAACTCAGGGCCTGAACACTGTTCCTTAGATTTATCACTCAAGGCTGGTCCTCTATTACTTGAGTCACATTTCCACTTCTTGCTTTTTTGCTGATTAATTAGAGATAAGACTGTTATCATAGACTTTCCTGCCCTGGCTGGCTTTGAACTGCCATCCTCAAATCTCAGCCTCTTGAGTAGCTAGAATTACAGGTGTGAGCCATTAGCACTTAGCTAGGTAGACAACTTTTAGCTCTTTTTGTTAATATGTTAAAAATAATTAACTTTTTGCATCTATCTGAAAAGATAAGTTTGCTAGTTTTTATTTTTATTCTTTTTTTGGGGGGGGGTCCGGTTGTGGGGCTTGAACTCTGGCCCTGGGTGCTATCCCCCAGCTCTTCAGCTCAAGGCTAGCGCTCTACCACTTGAGCCACAGCACCACTTCCGGCTTTTTTCTTTTTGCTTATGTGGTGCTGAGGAATCAAACCCAGGGCCTCTTGCATGCAAGGCAAGCACTCTACCACTGAGCTACCTTCCCAGCCCAAATTTGCTAGTTTTTAGCGTGGATCGATGATTCTTCACATATTTACAGAGAAATTTGTATGAAAACAGGCTAAATTTGAAATATGTGGCATATATTAATTTCTTTCAGGAGAAGGAAGCCAACATCCTTTTGGAGCCATGAATATTGTTCGAACTCCATCTGTGGCTCAGATTGGAATTTCAGTGGAATTATTGGACAGTCTGGCTCAGCAGACACCTGTAGGCAATGCTGCTGTATCCTCAGTTGATTCATTCACTCAGGTAATACAATGCATATCGTACTCTTCCCCCCACTTTTTTTTTTTGGCCAGTACTGGGGCCTGGTGTTATCTTTTCAGAAAGGGAAGTCTATTTCTTAAGTTTTTAGCTATTTTATAAAGAATGCATATGTTTATTAAACAACTTACTATGAGATACTTTAAATACACAAGAAGTACAGAAAGTAACCTCCATATTCTGCAGATGTTTATTGTATACCTAATCTGTGCCAGGCATGTTTTAAGCATGACTAGATAAAAACAGGTAGAGGAAATAAAGTAACACCTGTTTTTTTTTTTTTTTGGGGGGTCCGGTCATGGGGCCTGAACTCTGGGCCTGAGCGCTGTCCTTCAGCTCTTCAGCTCAAGGCTAGCGCTCTACCACTTGAGCCACTTCTGGCTTTTTTCTGTTTGCTTATGTGGTACTGAGGAATCAAACTCAGGGCCTCATGCATGCAAGGCAAGCACTCTACCACTGAGCCACCTTCCAAGCCCCTAAAGTAACATCTGTTTTTTATAGATTCTCTTTATAGCAGAGGATAGGCTAAAATGTCTTTCTACTTGAAACTGACTTAAAAAAAATATTTGCTATTAATTTCTTTTTCTTTTTGTGCTGTGGTTTGAATTTAGGCCATTCTGCATGCTATACATATGGCTTACCACTGAGCCATTACTAATTTTTTTTCAACAGAAAAAAGTCATTGACACTTTAGTCCCATTGATGCCTACCTGCACATCTTCCTTCATTTTACTTCCCAGGCTGGCCTTGATCCATAGTCCTCCTACTCTTTACCTTCTGAGTAGTTGGGATTGCAGGCATGAGTTTGTAACCAAACCTGGTTTGGACATATTTTCATAATTTGTGGAGAAAAGGATATGATATGTGAAGATCTTCTTTTATTTATTTTAGTTTTCTTTTTGGTGTATGCATTAATTGTGTATTGTTTTTATTATCACATTTTTACATGCTTATAATATACACATAAATACTCTTCTCTGGTCCCCTTACCTCTCCCTTCGCTTTCAAAAATAGTTTCCCTGCTGGGTGTCTGTGGCTCACACCTGTAATCCTAGCTACTCAGGAGGCTGAGATTGTGGTTCAAAGCCAGCCTGGGCAGGAAAGTCCATGCGATTCTTATCTCCAATAGACCACTAGAAAACCGGAAATAGTGCTGAGGCTCAAGTGGTAGAGCGCTCACCTTGAGCTGAAGAGCGCAAAGACAGCACCTAAGCCCAGAGTTCAAGCCCCATGACCAACCAAAAAAGAAAAAAAATAGTTTCCCTTTCTACTTTCATATGTATGTATATGTGTATGTATGTGTATATGTGTGTGTATCACACCTATATTAGAGAAAATGTGCTGTTTGTGTACTTTCATATTTATGTATGTATATATATATTATATATATATGTATGTATGTATGTGTGTGTCACGCCTATATTAGAGAAAATGTGCTGTTTTTCCCTTTTTTTTTTTTTTTGGTCCTGGGGCTTAAACTCATGCCCTGGACACTGTCCCTAAGTTCTTTTTGTTCAAGGCTAGTGCTCTACCACTTTGAACCATAGCACCACTTCTGGTTTTCTGGTAGTTAATTGGAAATAAGAGTTGCATAGACTTTCCTGCCTGGGCTGGCTTGGAACCATGATCCTCAGATCTCAGCCTCCTGAGTAATTAGGATTTATAGACATGATCCATTGGCGCCTGACTGTCTTTCTGTGTTTAGCTTTTTTCACTTCGGCATGATCAGTAGTTCTATCCATTTTTCTAGCCTATGACATAATTTCATTCTTCTTTATTTTTTATTGTGTATATATATATATATCACTTTTCCTTTAATATCCTCCACTCCCTTTTTTTGGGGGGGAGGGCCCTGTTGTGGGGCCTGAACTCTGGGCCTGGGCGCTGTCCCTCAGCTCTTCAGCTCAAGGCTAGCACTGTACCACTTGAGCCACAGCGCCACTTCCAGCTTTTTTCTTTTTTCTTATGTGGTGCTGAGGAATCAAACCCAGGGCCTCATGCATGCAAGGCAAGTGCTCTATCGCTGAGTCACCTTCCCAGCCCTCCACTCCTTTTTTATTGTGTGTTAGGTAAGGTTTTGTTCTGTAGCCCATGCTGAGCTCAAACTTACAGTCCTCTTGGCTCAGCTGAAATCCCTAAGCACTGGTTTGAAGTTTATGTTTTTCAAGTTTTTTTTAACTGATGTAGAGGGTTGCTATTGATTAATAACAAACTTTTGGCCATTAAGGAGCCCTGAGTTAATTCAAGTACCTTCATAGTAGAATCTTTTAGAATGTATGTGTGTATATTTACATGTACATACACATTTATATACAAAAACATTTTATATGTGTATACACACACACACACACATATATATTTATTACACATACCTTAAATAAACAGTTTGAGAGTCCCTCTTGTATAGAACAGCCTTCATGGCTGGGGAATAGATTTGAGAAAGTGATGCTACGAAGATTATTTTTGAGTGAGTAGAAGGTAGTTCTACTTTTAGTTGTTCACTTACTCCTGGGTGTAGTGCTGAAACCCATTTAATTCTGAAGGAAAATGAGAGAGCTTATTTCTGGCTTTAACTAAGGAAACTTGAAGGATCCTAGTTAAAAAAAAAAAGGCAATTGTAGGGTCAGTGAGAAGAGGCAGGTAACAGCTAATAGAATAGTACTTTCTCTTTATAGTAGAGGTTATCAGTATCTTCTATACTAATACTTAAGCCTTTCTGCTTTTTTGTTTGTTTGTTTTAAGAAATAGTATTTTCTATAAGAAAGTAGGTTGGTTGGGGAGAGCTATGCTGGAAGAAGTCTATACAGCTTTTAGATGAAAGAAAAAAATTGAAGGAAAAATATTTCTACCCCTCAAAGTGTCATTTTATGACCACCCATCGCTTTTAACATTTAACTAAGAATATAACAGTTCTTAAAATTAATTTAACATAGGGATTGAGAATTTAGTATAACCCACTAACCTATTAATTATCAACTTTTTAGTTCACACAGAAGATGTTAGACAACTTCTACAACTTTGCTTCATCATTTGCTGTGTCCCAGGCCCAGATGACACCAAGTCCATCTGAAATGTTCATTCCAGCAAATGTGGTTCTGAAATGGTAAGACATGTTTTCTATTGCTAGTATAGAAACTCTCTATGTATTTTGCCTGTGAAGATATTTCTTTTTTGACATTTATTATATTTATTATGGACATCAATATATGTTAATTTTTGTTTGTTTTTGTTTTTTTGGTATGTTAATTTTTACAGGCATTGGTGATGTGTACTGAACAGTTCAGGTCATTCATGATCTGCACCCTAATTCAGTTATTTAATGGCCATGTGAATTTGTAAAACAATAAGAAAATGTAATTACCTCTGTTTTAGAAAACATTAAGGATTATACATTTTTGTATATTTTGAATTAGAATTAGCAGTACTATATGTGAGTCTTGAAATTTCAAAACTCCTTTTCTTTTTTCTTTTTTAAACACATGGGTATCACAATTTTGTTTATTTTTTAACTTTTTGCCAATCCTGGAGCTTGAACTTAGGGCCTAGGCACTGTCCAGAGCTTCTTTTGCTCAAGGCCAGCACTCTACCACTTGAGCCATAGCTCCGGCTTTTTCTGTTTATATGGTACTGAGAAATTGAATCCAGGGCTTCATATGCTAGGCAAGCACTCACTCTACCACTAAGCCACATTCCCAGCCCTTAAAGGCATTTCCTTTCCCTTTGAATACTCCAATGGTGGGGGGTCTTTAAGGAGGTTTTGTTGGGAAGTGATACCCTGATATAGCAAGAGCATAGAGTGTAATAGGTTTGAGTTTTGTCACGCTATAGTTATGTGACTTTGAGCAAATTACTCTCATCTACTCATATATGAAATGAGAGTTTTATTTATTTTTGCCTACACTCCTTTCTAGCACTCAAATTTACCAAAGATAAAGTTACTAAAATTTATGATTATACCATCTGATAAAATCTAATCAAAACAGCTCTCTTAAATGACTGCTTGCTCTCTCTTTGATATTAATAAATTTTTAGATTTGCTTTTTAGAAATGGTATGTGAAATTATTTTTGACAAGTTAGTTGGTAAGCTGAAAGGTGATTTTAATTTTCTTATAAACATGTTTTTTCTCTTCTAGGTATGAAAACTTTCAAAGACGACTAGCACAGAATCCTCTCTTTTGGAAAACTTAATTTGAATAAAGTGATTTTTAATGGATTTTGAAATTTGTCATTGTTTGAAGATAAATGACCCTGTTTAATAACCTGAAGTCTAAAGAATCATGATGTCTAAGTATTGAAACTACATAGTGACTGAAAATCTTTATAAAAAATTACAAACATTGAAAACTGAAAATATGTTTATTATTGATTTTTTTCCCCTTATACACGTTAGCTACTATCAGAGGCAAACTTACTGTTCTAGCTACCATTCATTTTACTTAAAAATAAGCCTATTCACAGTAATAGTACTATGCCAAATGCTAGTGCATGTTTAATCTGCCATTTTCATAGCAGGTTGCTAGATTAATGAACTTGAAACTGACAGTCTCAGAATTGGGAACTTTTGAGAAGTATGGCATGCATTTTTTAGATATGAGAAAATTATTTTCAAGGAGTGTTTCTTAAGATTAGCAAATTTCAATTAAGACAGGTTGGTTGTCAGTTTTTATATTTAAAGATTCATGCATATTTATTTAAAATTGAGATGATTATTACTGATGAACGTTATTTAATACTTATTGCTAGGCATCTGTGTTTAGAATATTGGATCCATTATATTTGCATATAAGGATAGAGCCTCTGTGTCTAATTTTAAAAGGAACTCTTGAGTCTTTTATACTGGTGAAGACTTTGGCCGCAGACCACTTGGATTTATTTGTAATCAAAACTAGGTTAGAATACATGAAATTGTGCGGTTATTTCTTAAGTGAATTGTTAGATCCTGGTGTAAACATGGATCTGGTTGAACTGGTATTAAGAGTTACTACTGTGTGCCAGTAGCTCATGCCTATAATCCTAGCAGCTCTGATAGCAGAGAGGGAAAATTGCGATTTGAAGAGAACAGGTAAAAAAGTTTGCAAAATTCCATCTCACCAGAGAAGATTGACCAGGTAATATGTAACTGTCATCCTAGCTTTGCAGGAAGGACAAATAAGATCACAGTCCAAGCTGACCCTGGCAGAGCAAGACCTATAAAGGGCTGGAGGCATAGCTCAAGTGGTAGAGCATCTGTCTAGCAAGTGCAAAGTCCTGAGTTCAAACCCTTCATGGCCGGGTGCCAGTGGTTCATGCCTATAATCCTAGCTACTCAGAGGGCTGAGATCTGAGGATCACAGTTCAAAGCTGCCCCAGGCAGGAAAGTCCAAGAGACTCTTATCTCCAATTAACCACCTGAAAACGAGAAATGGTGCTGTGGCTCAAGTGATAGAGTGCTTGCCTTGAGCTGAAGAGGTGAGGGACAGTGCCCAGGCCCAGAGTTTAAGCCCCACAACCAGAAAAAAAAAGTAGTTTAAGGTTAGGTATTTCTTGCATTGTTCAAGTGTGGTAGACTTAGAAGTTTTGCAGGTTCTGTGGTTTTTTTAAAGTTCTTTTTATTATTTCCCTGGTCTTCTGCCAAAATTGAAGACTACACCATTTTATCTTGTGGAGTTATGATCAGATCAGTTTTGGTTGTGTGTCAGGTTTTCAGTGGCAGTGAGTACCCGTACATCTTCTTGTTAACAAGTGATTATAGTTGAGTCATTGACTTGACAGCATTTAATACTCTGGACAGAAAGCATCAGCTATTGCAATACACTTAACAGAAGGCAAATGATTATTTTTGTGTTAGTATATATACTCATGAACCTAGGTCACTAAATCCAAGCTACAAAAACATGCCCCAAATTTCTACAGTCAGGTAGCCCCTTTACCTCCCCCTCTTTTTTTTCTTTCTTCCCAAATCCATGCTGTAGAATCATGTCCCAAAGTTTTACAGTCAGCTTCTTTCCCTCCTTTTATTTATTTTATTATTTTATTCATTATAAAGTCCTGCTTTATTTTAAATTTTAATATATATTAATTGAACTAAAGGGCTTTGTGATCATTTGCATTCATAATTATAATGTACTTTGATCAAATTCATCTGTTACTTATTATCCATTTCAAATATTCCCTTTTATTTTACAGTTTTTCTGGGTTTCATTAAGCTATTCTTTGATCATATTCATCCCCATTACCCTCTCCCTTCCTTCTCCCATTACTTCTCCCAACAGTACCCACTTTACCTTCTCATTATTGTTATTGTCTAGATTTTGATAATGACTAAACATGATATTTGTCGTCTTTAACTTGGGTGTCCTGCTCATGGTGATCTCCAGTTCTACTAATTTCCCTTGCAAATGATGTAATTTCACTCTTCATGTTGGCTGAAAAGCATAATCAGTTATGTATATATCCCACATTTTTTTTTTTTAGCCATTCATCAATTGTTAGGCACCCTTGGCTGATTCCAGAGCTTGGCTATTGTGAATTATGTTGTGATAAGCATAGATGTGCAGGTGTCTCTAATGTATGCTGGCTGTCTCTAATGTATGCTGGCTTTCATTCCTTTAGGAATATGCACAAAGGTGATATAGCAAGATTGTATAAAGTAGTTCAATTTTTAGTTTTTTGGTGAGCTCATATACTGATTTCCATAGTGGCTGAACTAATTTGTACTCCCACCGGTTGTCCATAAAAGTTTCTCCTTGGGGCTAGGAATGTGGCTCAGTGCTTGCCTCATGCATGAGGCCCTGGGTTTGATTCCTCAGCACCACATAAACAGAAAAAGCTGGAACTGGTGCTGTGGCTCAAGGGGAGAACACTAGCCTTGAGCTGAAGAGCTGAGGGATAGCACCCAGGTCCAGAGTTCAAGCCCCACAACCAACAAAAAAAGTTGCTCCTCTTCACTTCCATCCTTATTAGCATTTGTTCTTTTCTTGATCATATTAAGCCTTTCTAATTGGGGAGAAAGAATACTACATTATCATCTTGGTTTTTCCTTCATTGTTAAAGAGGTTGAACATTTCTTTATGTGTTTGCCATTTATGCTTCTTTTGAGAACTCTTTGTTCAATTTATTTGCCCATGTAATTAATTAGATTCTATTAGTAGTTAATTTTGGATATTAATCCTTTGACAGATAGCTTGCAAATTTTTTCTCATTCCATGGGTTGTCTGCTCACAATGGTAGTCTGTTCTGTACAGACTTTAATTTGATACAGTCTTACTTGTTAATTCTTATTTCTGAGCAGTTGGAATCTAATTTAGAAAATCACTGCCTAGGCCTGCATTCTCAGTGTTTTTGCTTTGTTTTTCTGTAGTCATTTCCAAGTTTCAGGTCTTAAGATCTTTGATCCATTTTGAGTTGGTTTTTGTACATTGTGAGAGATATGGGTCTAGTTTCAGTCTTCTGTATGTGGGTATTCAGTTTACCCAGCACCATTTCTTGAAGAGGCTGTCTTGTTTGCAGTGTTGTTTTTGGTTCTTATGTCAAAAATCAGATTAGCCCCTTCCCTTAACCTAGTAAAAATACATTCTGCCTGTCCAGTGATTTTTATAGAGGTACAGCAGGAAGTCCTTAATACATTGGTTTCTTGACATGCCAAATGGAAATAAAAGACCATATAATTATCCATGACAATACTTGGCTGTAAATTTAAAGTATTCATTAGGCTTCTAGAACAGATAGTGAGAATCACATTTTGGATGACCTTGTTTGGCCATTTTATTCTTGTTCTTGCGATAGCATTTTGCATGGCATGAATACACAATTTTTACTTCTTGGAGCTGCTTGTGTGTGTGCTAGTGCGCTAGTCCTTGAATTTGGCCTGGGAGTTGACCCTGAGGTTTTGTCTTCAAAGCTAGTGCTCTGCCACTTGAGCCACACACAGCTCTACTTCTGGCTTTTGGTGGCCAATTGGCAATAAGTCTTATGGTCTTTCCTGCTTGGGAGACAATCTTAAGATCTCAGCCTCCTGAGTAGTTAGGATTACAGGTATGAGCCTCTGGCGTCCAGCTTCCAAGGAGCTCTTTGAGACAGACTATACACTGATATTGGATGTCTTTGGTTATCTTCAGGGAGCATGATACACAGGAAAGAAGAAAATCAAGTATCTGAGAATCTCTACAAATTATTGTTATCAATGAGATAGATTTCTATGTAGGATACAAGTAAAAGCTAGTGTTGACATTAAGTAGTTCTTGGTTACAGAAAATATTGGGAATACAAGTATGATTTATCTTTGGTATTTCATGTCTTATAACAGCTCAAACTGATTATTATGATACTGAAGAGAAATGGAAACAAAAACTTGTACATGATGTAAATAGCTTTTTTCATAATAACCCATAAAGTAGAAAAACCTCAGATGTCTTATGAATTGATGTTTGCACACAATGTGTTATATTTACAAGAGGGAACATTTTGTTATTAGCAACAAAAAGGAACAGTACTGAATACATTATAATATTGGTGAATCAGAAAAAAACGGGCTATAGAATGCTTATACAAGGCTGAAAATACTAAAAAATATGCACTTTAAATGTGAAATTATATGCCATGTGGATTGTATCTTAAGAGCTTTTGTTTTTTTAAAAAAAGGCAAATGCTGAAAGCAAGTATCTATATAAAAGTGATGAAAAATACAGATTACAGAAATAAAAATGGTTATTGAGAGTTATAAATCTAAAATGTATATAAAGCCTAAAAGTGAAACTTAAGGTTTGAGGAGACACATGTCAACAAACATAGGCAATCATCTTCAGTTTTTAAACAATTGTATTTTGATGTTTTAAGTACAAGAACCAGAAAATAATAAATAGTAAAGTAGAATCTGTTAGGTTGTAATCTAGAACCAGCATTTACAACATGGATATTGTTATGATTGGGATTTGAAATGCCCACAAAATGCCCATTCAATATAGTTGTCAGTTGGTGGTGCTGTTGGAAGATGGTGGGGCCTTTGTAATATGAGGTCTACTTAAAGAAGCTGGGCATTAGGGATATCAGAATCCCAGCCCCCTTTTCTCTTTGCTTCTCACCCACCATGAAGTGAACAAGCTTCCTCTACCCTGTGATTCCATTGTAATACATTCCCTGCTGCAGGCTCAAAAGCAAGAGGGCCAAGTGACCATGAGCTCCAATCTTCTCTGAAACCACAAGCAAAGTAAACTTTTTCATTATCTCAGGTCATTTTGTTCCAACAATGAGAAGCTGACACAAACATGTTTCAGGTTCACGCCTGACATCCATCCACATTGGATGGATTGTTATTAAATGGATTATTATTAAATTGTTAATAAAGATTCTTTATATCCTTTTGTTTTTCTTCACTAAGTTATTTTAAAAGTGACTTAAGAAGCATTTTTAATGGTTTTTGGGTGGAGATGCTGAATAACCTGTTGATTGCTTTTCCTATTATACTCAGTGCAAATATTGGCTGACACTATTTCTTGCC